AGGGAAGTAAGATTATAACGGGTGCGCCAGGTGAAATGGACCTTTCAATATTTTGCTTATAACTTTGGTTCCTTTTGATATTTAGAGCTGTTTGTTTCACCACACGATGCGTCTTGAAATTTTCTAAAAAATCATAATTAATCTCACCTTTATCAAATGTTAGGAACGACCATTAAATGGAACACATTGCAGACACAAAATATATCTAACTTTCAAAAGCAGAAAACGTTATCTGAGTGACTACTTTCTTACATGTTCTTTTTAATCATCGAGCATATATACTCTCAATAATACTGTATCATGCGATGCAGCGTGAGAAGCTCTATAAGATGCATTATTAAAACTAGGTTATATGTATAGACTTTTTATTTTCAAAATGGCGCACAGATGTTTTTCGAGTTTATAAAAACGATATTGTTTTTGTGACATAGTCTTTTGCGTATTTTAAAAGCAATTGATGTGTTCAGATAAAATGGCTTGTTCTGCAAATTGTAGAGCTTTCCATCGCGCATCTTCTGATACATTCTGATTTATTGTCCTAGAAGACTTCAGGTAGAATAAAGATGAAATAAGAATAACGAATTTCGAATGTGTATATAAAGTGACCTTTCTTATAAACTCGAAAAAAAGTTAGACGCTGTTTTGAAAATAAAAAATACATGCATAAACTAAATTTAATGATGAATCTGGTAGAACTTTTCACGCTGCATCTTTTAGTGCAATTTTTTCGTAAAAAAAGTATAGATAACAATACTTATTGTTTGTGAAACAGTTATTGGCTTTGAAAGTTAGGTATATTTTATGTCTGCAATATGTTTCATTTAATGGTCGTTCCTAACATTTTATAAAGGTGAGATTAATTATGATTTTTTAGAGAATTTCAAGACGCATCGTGTGGTGAAACAAACAGCTCTAAATATCAAAAGGAACCAAAGTTATAAGCAAAATATTGAGAGGTCCATTTCACCTGGCGCACCCGTTATCTTCATCATATTCTAACCATAATTCGATTTTTGTCGGAAAATGAAAATAGTAATCAACTGAAATTCATTCTACCAAAGTTAATTTGATTTAGAATATTTCAGTTCCTTCCTAAAATTATCTTTGCTCACAAAAATCCATTGATAATCTGATATAGCAGAATATTCCACAACTTTCTACTGTACAGCAATGGCTATACTAGTCAAACTAGGTGCCAAGAATTAGATGTGATGTAAAGATAAATATAGATGTACGAGAATTCTGTTTAGGATAAAGTTAAAATTACGAATAGAAGTGGATGGTGTAACGACAAACTGGTTGAGTAGCTGACCGCTTCTCACGGTATCGATGTTTATTGACTACTCTACATGACCAGAATGTCTCTCTTTCACAATAAGACAGGCGCTTATATAGAGAAGAGGAAAGAGAGATATGACCCGGAGATAGTATTATATAGAGGTGAGAGAATAAAGAGCAGAAAGAGATGAACGATATCATTATCCTTACAGATGGCATTGAGTAGACTTAGATGTAGGCAGCTAATGATAGATTAAGGGCAGGACTAAAATAGGTAATTAAAAATACGCTAGGGATGCAAGTATCAGTTAAAAGACAAGGGTAACTAACCAAATATAAAACCAATAGATAGTGGAAGGTAAAGCAACTAACATGAACTGTACTGCGGAGGGTTAGAGCCTTTTAAAGGAAATTGAAAAGTTTTCGTTAAAATCAGATTGTGCTCGAACCTTAAAATCTTCCAAAAATGGTACGGTGTAATTTGGAATATCCTACGTGGTTGTACTTTGAACATTCTGGTGAACATTATTTAGGGAAGCTAATTAAGTAGATTTGAAACTCTTGAATAGAACTTGATCCAATGATGCAGTACAAAAGAAAAAGCAGTAAGAAAGATATAAACTGTTGTGTGTATAGTGGATCTGTCTGTGATTTATGTAGAAAAGGATGCTGATGAGGAATCAGCACAAATTCAAAAGGAGTCAAAACAAGGTCATATAATTGATCGATGGGGCCAGAAGTACAGTGAGGTTAACTTTCCGTGTATATAGCCGTGGTGTGTTGTTACTTGCATGAATTTATGTGGTGCCATATACGGCGAACATTTATCGCCCGAACAACGCATCCACATTGCTATCGACAAAGGCCTAGACAATGAAACCAATCAACTGATATCGTAGTATCCGCCACCCAAAACATGTACTTACATTAATATTAGTAGTGGTTCTTCATTTCTTCAACAGCCATTCACAGTTAATTATTTCCCATTAGCATTTGGCTTCATCGAAACATACCTGCTGGGCACAATTTCTCGTACAGTTTACTACGAGGATAAACATCAGGTGGTGAATGAAACGTGTATACCCAAGAAAAGTAGAGATTTTAGCAGATTGATACCAGGCGATCTTACCACATATGAATTTCAATTTGGTCACGAGGCCGAATATAAGCGGCAATACATGAGTGCTTATTTTGCGATTACCAAGAAAAAAGCAGGATGGGATTGCAATAGGCATTACGAAATTATAGCATCTGCAGCTACGCCATATTTTGAGAATCTGAACGAGTCAGGAAGCTATACGTTAAGTCACCCTCAACTATCTGTTTCAACACTTAAAAGTCTAATTTATTGAGTTGGCCAGAAATTTTTGGGTTTTTTTGAAAATTCTCTTTTTATTTCTTAACTTCAAAACTACAACTAGCTTTCAACAATATAACCTCCATCACTGTCTATGACTGGTTGCCAACGCCTTGGTAAAGAAAGGATCCAACGTTCGTATAAGTCTTGAGACTTTTGAGCGAAGAAGTTGGTCATCTCTGTTCTGAGGTCGTTCTCGCCCAAATAATTAGAAAGAGAACGAAAATAATGGTAGTCTGTGGGAGCCAAGTCAGGAGAGTAAGGTATATGTCATAGGCAAAATCAAACTTAGTCAATGTTCATTCATAAAAAGGCGGGAAAGTTGAGACAGAAGAGAAAACGAAATTCTTTTGTTCCCCGATAATGTAACATGTTTCTTATTCCGCAAGATTCTAAAGATGATGTATTGAATTTATTTTCTTACTGACATCTATCTCTAATGCATGGATCATCAACGATACGATGAACACAACGATCTACTCAACCGATCATAATTAACCGTAGAATCTTTTTTTTTATACGTACAAACTTTTCACGCAAAGAAATCATCAAAAAGTCAATATCATTCAATCGTAAGAGCAAATTAACGTTCACTTTACTCCCTTCCCCCTTTCGGTCGGAGAATTGAGTTCTACACGTCATTAAGTGTGCTAACGGTCGTGTATGAAAAGGCGCTAGTTGCTTCATTGTGATTGATATTTACTATTTGTGAAGAGTCTATCATCGTGGAATTTTTGAACGACAAATATTATCTGCATCGATCGAAGTTCGTCAATGAAAACCAATATCATGAATTGTTTACGTGAAAATCGAATTACTACGACTGATTTCGATTGTCGCTTTGCGTCTTGGTGCCGAAATTCGTTTGTTGCGAATGATATTGGTGGACAAACGTTTCTGTGCGATCTGAAATCCAATAAACCAGTTCTTCTTTATGAAAACATGTATGAAGTTTATAAAAAAGTTCATATCGAATCGGCTCATGCGGGACGAGATAAATGTCTTGATGCATTATCAATAAATTACAGTTGATTCAATCGAGAGCTTTTACAGATTTATCTAAAAAATTGTTCATCATGCCAACAACGAAAGTCAATTAAGAGACCGACGGTAAGAATTGCTCATATGTTGCTTTCTCTTTAATTATGGTTTGATACGTGTCAAACATGACGAAGTTGAAACCGATCCATGTTTTCAGACAAGTTTTGAATAAATTCCGTTAGTCTGGAAGGTCGCTGATTAGTCAATTTGACATGATTTTGAATTTTATCAGATCTTCATAGACCGCTAGCTAAAATTGGTGATAAATTGCTTGATGATATGTCAAATTTGAACTTATGTACGCATAAACAAAACTATCACGCTTCAGAACTTAAATCTGTTATGGTTATTTGATCAAGTCTGTTTGCTATAAGTTAAATTCAATGTATTGTAAAGAGCAGCATTTAATCTTATCCTTTGTCGTCAGATTAGATTTCAGTCTTCTCTTTTTTGACACATAATTGTTTTGACAAACAGATTTCATTTTTTTAACCAGTTTACAAATCTCACCGTGATAAAAAATCAATATAACTGCAACAGAGAACGAATTAATTGTGCGAGCCTTTCTTCAAATGAGTAGATTTCATTTCAATACGATAAATGAATTATGAATGGAATTTGTGTGAATGTATTCATAGTAGTAAACATACATAAGGATAAGTCGCTTTGGATGAATTTTTTGATACCATATGTAGCGATTTTATGAACCAATTATTTGGAACTATGTATAAAATAAAAAATATCATTTCGGTAAAGTTCTTCTATTAGATCGAATATGAAAAGAACATATTTTATCAGTAAACTAATCCAAAAGTAAAAGTAACTACTCTATGGAAATATATCTTGTCGAAATAGGTCTTGAAAAAGGCCGGTAGTACTAGGGTTAAGCAAACAGATTTGGATTGGCCAATAACCAACCGCCATCAACAATATAAGTTTGTCCCGTACAATATGAAGCATCATCCGAGCAAAGAAAAGCAACCATAGAAGCGATTTCATTTGGATGACCAATGCGTCTCATTGGAATTTGTTTTTCAATTTTAGATTTTCTTTCTGCATCACGAGTTGCCCATGACGTCATTGGAGTATCAATAAGACCAGGACATATAGCACATACCCGAATTCCTTGTGGTCCTAATTCTAATGCCATTGTTTTTGTCAAACTTTCTATAGCAAGCTTTGATGCACAATCTAATATATGAAACAAAATGAATTCTTTCGACTATTCAATAGTTTTTGGAATAAATTACAAGCAGCTGAACCTTCACAAACAAGATATTGTCTTACACTTGTAATATTAATAATAATTCCATGATTCTGATCAGCTTCATTAATTAATTTTTCTAGATTTTGTTTGAGATATTGTTTAGCAATTAATTTTGAACAAAGATATGTTCCATGAATATTGACACGAAATACTTCTTCCCAATCTCGAAATTCTTTATCAATTACATTATTAAAATCACCAGATATTCCTAGATTAAAATGATTTCATCGAGAAAGAAATAATAAG